TCAGCCTCCCAAAGGCGCGGGATTACAGGCTGAGCCACTGAGCCCGGCCGACAATTTTTTTTTAAAACAGGTTCTTGGCCAGGTGTGGTGGCTTAAGTCTGTAATCCCAGCACTTTGAGAGACTGAGATGAGAGAATTCCTGAGCCCAGGGATCCAAAACCAGCCTGGGTAAGTTGGTGAGACCTCATCTCTACAATAAATTTTAAAAAAAATAGCTGGATGTGGTGGCATAAACCTGTAGTTTCAGCTACTTGGAAAGGTGAGGTGGAAGGATTGCCTGAGCCCAGCAGGTCGAGTCTGCGGTGGTCATGAGCATGCCACTGCACACCAGCCTGGGCAACAGAGTGTGACTCTGACTCAAAAAATAAATAAATAAAACATAAAAAAATTTTAAAAAGACAGGTTCTTGCTTTGTCATCCAGGCTGGAGTGTAGTGGCACAATCTTAGCTCACTGCTTCCTCAAACTCCTGGGCTAAGGCAATCCTCCTGCCTTAGCCTCCCAAGTAGTTGGTACTATAGGTGTATGCCACCACACCCAGCTAATTTTTAAAGATTTTTTGTGGAGACAGGATCTTACTATGTTGCACAGTCTGGTTTCAAATTTCTGGCCTCAAGTGATCCTTCCACCTCAGCTTCCCAAAGTGCTGGAATTTTATAAGTGTGAGCCATTGCAGCCAGCCAGCATACATTTATATCCACATTTTTTTGATTCAGGGTCTCATTTAAAAAAAATTTTTTTTTTGAGTCGTAGTCTTACTCTGTCGCCCAGGCTGGAGTGTAGTGGCACGCTCATGGCCACCGTAACCTCCACTTTCTGGGCTCAGGTGATCCTTCCACCTCAGCTTTTCAAGTAGCTGGAACTACAGGTGCACACCACCACACCCAACTGATTTTTTTATTTTTTGGAGAGATGAGGGCTCACCATGTTGCCCAGGCTGGTCTCAAACCCTGGGCTCAGGCAATCCTCTCATCTCTGCCTCCCAAAGTGCTGGGATTACAGGTGTGAGCCAGGCTTAAATTTTTTATAGCAACTAGTTCTTGCTATGTTTCCCAGGCTGGTCTAGAATTCCTAGGCTCAAGCAGTTCTCCCCCAGCTTCCCCAAGTGCTGGGATTATAGGCATAAACCACCACACCCAGACAATATCCACAGTTGCAGATAATGTCTCAGGACCCCAAAACACTTTAGTGTGTATGTACTAAAAATGAGGACATTGTCTTACATAATCATAGTACAATACAGTACAACAATTAGCATCGTGGAATTAACATTGATACCATACTGTTATTCAGATTTCATGAATTATCCCCTAATCTGGAGAATGCATCACATTCAGTTGTTGTGTCCTTAGTCTCCTTTAATTTAGAACAGTTCCTCAGTCTTTGTCTTCCACAGCATTGACATTTTTGATGGTGTTCTGTAAAGTCTGCCTATCTGGGCTTTTGTGATACCACAGAGGCAATGTTTTCTCCTCAGCTCACACATCAGGAGGCATGTCATTTTCAGTGTGTTGCTTCACTACTGATCATTTGATTAAACTTGGGTAACTTGGGCCGGGTTCAGTGGCTCAACCTGTAATCCCAGCACTTTGGGAGGCCGAGGTGAGTGGATTGCCTGAGCCTGCGGGTTCGAGACCAGCCTGGGCAACTTGGCGAGACCTCATCTCTACAATACATCAAAAAAATTAGCCGGATGTGGTAGTGCACGCCTGTAGTTCTGGCTACGTGGAAAGCTGAGGCGGAAGGATTGCCGAAGCCCAGCAAGTCGATGCCAGGGTGGCCGTGAGTGTGCCACTGCACTCCAGACTGGGCGACAGAGTGAGACTCCAACTCAAACAAAACAAAACAAAACAAAACAAAAAACCTTTGATAACTTGACTAAAGGAGACTACACTGAAACTGTTTACCTATTATAAAATTAGATCTTTCCCATTGGTAATATTTATATCTTCTGGGGACATAGTTTGAGACCATGTAAATACCCTGGCACTCTTCAGGCTGACACCACTGATTGTGTCCTCTTCCACTGCTCTTGATCTTTGCCATGGTCCTGAAGATGTGAGCCATGGTACTGTGGCATTCGTAGGTAGGGAAACAGTGTTGGAGATGATTGGTGACTTGCCCAGGGGCAGGCACACTGAGTGAGGCAAATCCCAGCTTCTCTGGCGTCCCATCCAGAGCTTGCTTTGTTTCCTCCCCACCTGGACCATTCCCATTACCCTGTCACCTCCTCATTCTTTCACCCTCAGATTCCTTATGAGATAATGCCTTCCTCTCAGGCTTCTTGTGAGAATCCAAGGGAACACCCAGAAATCAATAGTGATGTGGATAAGCCTCCTACCACTCTCCTGCAGGCCAGTCCCAATCAATCCAGGTGTGATGATATCTGTGTTACCCTGGGACTGAGCTAGGCTGTGAGTTTTCTGGTACTAGGCCAGGGTCAGTCAACAAATGGGAACAGAGATCCTTTCTCCTCTAAGGCAGGCTCTGGGCTGGGGACATGGGAGAGTGGCCACAGCTTCTGTCCAGGTGAAGTCCTATGGCAGGAGATTTATACCTACCAAATTAGAACGAGGGGTGACCCCATACCTGAGGCTCCTAGGAGGACAGGAAAGCTCTCGTTTATGGGAGGGGAGGGGGATGGCTGGTGCATTCACAGGCCAACATAGCCAGGTGAGGGGCTTCAATATGGCAGGAGACAAGGCTGGGTGGGCACCTTTCCTACCTCTGGCCTCCCCACCCTGTCCCAAGGGTACAGAAGAGCAGGCCTTTCTCCCTGCAGAGAAGAGGCTGGGGTGAAGGACAGGGAAGAAACATGGTAGGTGGGGCCTTAGAGCCTCCCTGGACATTACCCTGGAGGGAGCGCCAGAATCCAAGGCTGCCCAGATATTTGTCCTACTGCCCAAGGCAGACTTATCACTCCCCACACCCTTCCATAGTGGCTTCCACCTTTTGGACCCCTGCTATCTGCAGGCTTGGCTCTCATAATTGGGTGACTTGGTCGACATGAGATAATTCAGAGACTAGGAGCTCATGGAATAGGCAGCTGCAATGTAGAGCTCCAAGGAAGCCTTTCCTGATAGGAAAGTCTTCCATTCCAGGCCTGGCTTCCCCACAAAAAAACCATGGGGCCTGCAGTTGGGAGATCTCTGCCTGATGGTAGGACTAGGGAGTAGACCAGCCCATTCCAATGCTCTGGGCAGCGCCAGCTCTCTCAGGCCACCTGTGTGACAGACTTTATGGCCTCAGGCGTGGTGCCTGGAGCTTCACCAACCCTACTCCCCATCCTCCACAGGGTGCCCCACGGACACATGGGCCCAGCACCTTTGACCTGCAGATGAAGTTTGTGTGTGGCCAGTGCTGGAGGAATGGGCAGGTGGTGGAGCCTGACAAGGACCTCAAGTACTGCAGTGCCAAGGCCCGGCACTGGTGAGCTGGGTGCCAGGGGGAGGCCCAGGGAGGATTGGGGCCCACCCGAGCACCACAGATATTGGGGCCAAGACTCAGAGAGGCTAGGACTCTCTGCAGAGGTCACCAGCCCTGAGGCTCTGTCCTGACCTCTCCCCTTTCGGTTCCCTGCTCTGTCCTGCAGCTGGACCAAGGAGCGGCGGGTCCTTCTGGTGATGTCCAAAGCCAAGAGAAAATGGGTATCAGTGAGGCCACTGCCATCCATTCGCAACTTCCCACAGCAATACGATGTGAGTCCCAAGGCAGTGGGCCAGGGGCTGCGGGGCCTCAGGGAAGCAAGGATCAGTTCAGTGGGACTCAGAGTCTCTCCCCATGCCTGCCCACAGCTCTGCATCCACGCACAGAACGGCCGCAAGTGCCAGTACGTGGGGAACTGCTCTTTCGCACACAGCCCTGAGGAGAGAGACATGTGGACATTCATGAAGGACAACAAGAGTGAGTGGGCAGATGGGGCAGGGGCCTCACCTCTGCCGCCTCATCCCTAGACACCTCAACTCATCAGCAGGCCTGAGAGTGCCTGCTGCTCCCCTTTTGCTGCCTGGACCCCCTTGTCCATCTGCACCAGGCTGTGCCTTCTCTGGGGCTCTATGGTTGACCCAGCCCTGAGGCCAGGCAGCCTGTCAGCAGGCCTGGGATGCCCATAGCTCCCAAATCAAGCAGGGATCATGGGGCAGAACAGACGGGAACGCATCCTCACCAGGCACTCTGTTCCCTGTCCCCTGCCTAGTCTTGGACATGCAGCAGACCTATGACATGTGGCTGAAAAAACACAACCCAGGGAAACCTGGAGAAGGAACCCCAATCAGTTCTCGGGAAGGGGAGAAGCAGATCCAGATGCCCACGGATTACGCCGACATCATGGTAACTCCCCCGTCCCCCTATGTGCTTGGGCTGTGGTCTGAGCCTGACCTGGGAGAGGCAGCCTGGAGGGGCCAGCCAGCTGGAGCTCAGCCTCTCTGAGGGAGGTGGTCCAGGCAGAGGTGTAGGGGTGTGAACACCCATGGTGGCTGTGCCCCCAGATGGGTTACCACTGCTGGCTCTGCGGCAAGAACAGCAACAGCAAGAAGCAGTGGCAGCAGCACATTCAGTCTGAGAAGCACAAGGAGAAGGTCTTCACGTCTGACAGTGACGCCAGTGGCTGGGCCTACCGCTTCCCCATGGGCGAGTTCCGGCTTTGTGACAGGTGAGAGCAGGGTCTTGAGGGAACATGGGGTAGCCTGAGGAGATGGAGGCCGTGGCCAGCTCTAGCTCCTCTTGGCCTGGAGCTAGTGTGCAGGGGGGTGGTGTGTCTTGGATGTGAATACAGTTGTGGGGGTGGGTTGGGATTGGAGGGGTAGGCTCAGACTGGCCAAGACCCCTACTTTGCAGCCCTGGGGCAGATCCGGGTATTCCCTGAGCTGGTTACAAGACTTCCCAGGGAGAGATTTGTCTTGGGAGAGGTCAAGTGGCTGGCTCGAGGTCCCACAGCCCGGTGTGGGAAGGGCATGGAGCTTGGGCATTGAGCCTCTTGCCACCCACAGGCTCCAGAAGGGCAAGGCCTGCCCAGACGGGGACAAGTGCCGCTGTGCCCATGGACAGGAGGAACTCAACGAGTGGCTGGACCGGCGTGAGGTGCTGAAGCAGAAGCTGGCCAAAGCTCGCAAGGACATGCTTCTGTGCCCACGGGATGACGACTTTGGCAAATACAACTTCCTGCTGCAAGAGGACAGGGACACAACTGGTGCCACCCCAGAAGCCCCTGCCATTGCTGCCACCACTGGGGAGTAGGGCCAGGTCTTGGCCATGGGCAAAGTCCTGGGGTCAGGGGGTGGGGGTGGAGACAGAGGGTCTGATAGCAGGGTCAGGGCAGGCCAGCTGGGGGTGGGGGTCACCCTAATCAGGCAGTCCCTAGCCCCTGGGGCCCTGGCCATCCTCTCCGTCCCCAGTGCCCCAGGTATGCAAACCCAGGTGCACATGCTGCAGCCCCAAGCAGTCCCAGGGTCCTGGTCCTGCTGGAACCTGGACAGACCCTTCCCACCCCCATGGCTCTCCTGGTTGAGGAGGGAGGGGCCTGGCTGACCCCTCCAGCTTCAGCCTACAGCTTTAACTTCTCTCTGCTCCTAAAGGGGCCCAAAGCTCAGGGCTGGGGAGTCTGGGTCCCCACTTGAATCTGCAGCAGGAGGGTCCTTCTCCCTGCCCCATCCTCACCCCACCCCATCCTCACCCCACCCCCCTCTCCCTGGGAGCAGACCAGGACACACAGAGGGCAGGAGGCCCCAATTAGCTTTAAAATACAGCCCCACAATGGAGCTGAGAACACTGTACTGGTCACTTACCCTCTGGGACTTCAGCTTCCCCTCTGGTTGGAAGAGTGGGAAGGGCTGGGCTAGATGATCTTTAGAGTCTGACTAAGCTGTCTCGCTCCTCTGTCTGACTCTACCACCCCAACCCCATTCTCGATGGATATAGATGGTAGATCCTCAGAGGTGACCCAGCCCAAGCCCTATTGTGGAGAAAGGAGAACTAAGGCCTGGAAGAGTGGAGTGATTTGCCCAGGCTCCCAGCATTAGGCAGATCTGGGATGAAAACAGTGGTCAAAAGACTCAGGGCCAGTTATTAGCTAGAGCCTGCCTGCTCCTCAGCAGGGGCGTGGCAGTTTCTGAATCCGTGTGCAGCTAGGAGTCCAGGGCCTGGGGAAGGGAGGCCCAGAGGAGGGCTGGTGGTATCAGTACCCCATGGAGGGACAGTCCCCTCTCAAGGATGGTTGGAGGGAGTGTAGCAGAGGCTACTTCCCCATGCCCACTTGGGAAAAGGCAGCAAAGGACAGGACACCATGAGCTCAGGATCTGCAGAGGCATGGGGGTGGGGAGGGTGGGAGTCTGGGGTATATGGAGAAAAGGTAGGCTTGACCTTGGGCACCATGGGCCACTCCAGGAGGGGACATAGCCCCTTTCTTTAGGACCCAGCATGGTCCTCTCTCTAGAACCAGACATATAATTATGACTGTCTGTCCCAGCTCCTCCCTGATCCCCAGCCCAACCAGCTGCCTGGGACCCCAGTGGACACCCAGTCCCTGCTCCCACCCAACAAGTCCTCTCCTGTTCCTCTCGTCTGACATGTCTGTGTGCACCCCTTCCTCTCTACCCCACCCCCATGGGCAGGCCCAGCCTCCTCTGGTTCCCCAGACATTCCAGATACCCCAACCATTGGCACAAGGAGTGGGGAGCCCCGGAAGGAACCAGGGACCAAGGCTGAGGGGGTTGAGAAGGAGAGAAGGGAATACCCCATTCTCCTCAGCAAGGATAAGTGAGTGCGCTGGCATAGTGACGGGTACCCAGGGCTATAGAAAACCCTGTTCCTCTTGCCACCACTGCCTGACCTTTCCCGGTAATTGGCATGCACCCTTTCCTCTTCCCTGCCTCCGCCCCTGCCCCCAGCAGGTCAGCACTGCAGAGTTTGGGTGCTGGCAGCGTAGCTGGAGGGGAGGAGAGACCACACCCAAGGTGGGGGGGCTGTGGCCGTGAATGTCGATGATACTTGTTTTCCCTGGTCTGTGGTGTTGCAGTCTGTTGTCACCAGCCTTGTTTTTAGTGTGTATATATGTTGCCCCCATGATGCATATATACACAGGTATTAAATATATCGCTCTATATAATATTATATATGTGTGTGGTATCCAAGGAATCACTTCTAATGAGGGCTAAAGATAAAGAATTTGACCAGAAAATGCAGCCATCCTCGTGTGATTAGGAGAGTTTTTCAGGGTCATCAGGCTAAATGCAAGGAGACAGGGCATAGAACCATGGTTTAGAGGTGACTGGGCAGCTAGGGGGCCAACTCTGCCTGATAGCTTCCCAGACCACCCTAATCTAGAGGGAGAGAGCAGGAGTGCTCAGGGAGAGAAAATGGTTTGTATTTGTCTTCCTCCATAAGGAATAGGACTAGAGTCCAGAGTTTTCATCTTCAGCCTATTATCTGTCCAGGAACTCTTTGGGATCTGGGCTCCCTGGCCTGGCCAGAGCTGGGTCCCCCACAGGATAAGGAAGAGAGAATAGGAGGCAGGGAGTGATGGGGTGCGCAGAAAACACTTAATGATAAGAGTACCCATTTTCGTTGTAACTCCTCTAGGGCCCCCAGCTTGGAGGCTCAGATTGTTGAATCCAGGTCCTATGCCCACTCCTAGCAGGCAGGGACAAGATGGCATGTCAAACATGGGGGCAAGGCTGGGGAGGGGATGGATGCTGCATTTCTCAGCTGGGCAGTAATCAATTTAATGATCCTTTAAAATGTCTATGTATTAAAATTTTAAGAATACCACACTTTAATATTAAATATTCATAAGGTCTAGTATCTTGATAATAATGTAGATGTTTTAATAACAATTTTTGTCCTTCTTAAAATAAAATAAAAGAAACTTGCTTCTTTTAGCCTTTGTTCTAGAAAATAAACTTGTGCACTTTGACCTCTGTCCCAAGGTGTCACTCCTGTTCCTCCTCGCCTGGCACTTGTGCTCAGGGGCCTGAGCTGCTCTGTACTCATGGGACAGAGCTGGCTGGTGCTAGTTAGGCCTTGGGTAGGCTTTCCAAGTGAGGGGCAGGTCTTTATCCCTGTGTACACACGGAGACCTGGCTGACCCCGGCTCAGGCAATGCCTCGGCCAGCAGGGACAAGCAGTGCTCTGCACAGGTGGCCCCAGCAACCAAACTTCACCAGCTCTTCTGCAGCCTGCCTGCTCGCAGCCTTACTTGTAGGCTGTCCAGCAGTGCACACACCTCCCCTGCTGTTCTGGGTTCCAGAGGGCTGCTTCTCTCTCTTGATGTGGCTCTTCCAGGAAGGTGAGGAGCCATGGCACACTTTGGAGGATGATCCCAACTATAACCCAGACTCCTCTGAACCCAAGGGGAATCAAAGTCACATAGGCACAGTTTTCTCATCTTTAAAAGGAACAAGTATTAGCTGGAGTCTCAGTCAGAGACATCTGTACCTGCTGGGGTGGGAGATAATTTGTCAAATCTTTTGGCTTGTGCATGGTTGATGAGGGTGATGGAGGGGGGTCCTGTAGGGAGGACTGCACGTGTCAGGGGCAAACTCTCACCAGATAACTTTGAGTTGCGTTGTGGAGTGGTCCCAGGAACACAATTTCAGGGCCTGAGAATTGCGTGAAGACAGGGAGTCACTTTTGCTAGGTATGCAGCAGGTGCTCAGATGCTTGATAAATTATGGGAAAGGAACAGAAGCAGCCAACTTTATTAAGCACCTTGTTTGCAGCAGGTACTGTGCAGATAGCATGTCTGTTCACAATAATCCTGGAAGTTTGCTACTCACATTTTATAGCCCTAAGAGGTTCAGTGAAGGTTTCAAGGACCTTCGGGAAGGAGGCAGAAGAACAGTCGAGAACAACTGGGAACTGGCTATCAGCAAAGATCCCCTCAGCCCTGACATTCTGGGATTCTCAGCACCCCTGACCTCACTGAAAAACCAAAGTGGTGTGGCAAGGTGCAGTTCCCAGAAGAAAAATGCAGACTCATCCTCAGGCTGGAGAGATCATGAGCCTGCAGCAAGACCTTCCCTACACTCAAAAAATTAAAGAGAATAAGACAAGCAGGACTTCAGTGAACCTAGCGGACTAAATTTGTAAATTATTTTCCAGTCCTCACGTGGCTTACTCATCAACTGAACACCCACTCCATCCAAGATCCTGGAATACGAGATTACTGAAGAAACTGCTTTCCCTTGAGTCCACAGTCTGCCAGGGAGACCGACCTGATAGATAATGTGAAGGCACAGTCGTGGGAGACACTTGGGATGCCAGGGAAGGCACCTCATTCAGGGTGGGGAACCGGGAGGGCTTCTTGGAGAAGGTGAAACTGAAATCATGGCTTCAGAAAGATCTTTTTTATTATTGTAATCAGCGTGCACTTAACTTTCTTTTTCTCTTAATTTTATTTCACAAATGCAGTTTCATGTACCAGCATGACCTGGATATTTATAGTCAGTGACTTATATTCATCCCATCAAGGGTCAGAGCTGCCTTTGGCAGTCCCCAGTTACTGAACACAGGTTTGTGTCTGGTCTTTGCCTCTGTGAGTAGGAGCCTCAAGAAACACCACCAACACAGCATACCAGCTGCTTCCAGGAACCCTGGGAAAGTTCTGAGATAGACCTGAGGCAAGCAGAACTGTATCCACGTATCTACCAGAAGAGCCCTTTGCAGCCTCCCGGGGAAATACCCCAGGAAAGGGCAGCCTGAGTCATTGGACCAGTATGAATGATGATCAGTACAATTTTTTTTTTTTTTAAAGATGTGGAAGAAGCCGGGCTCAGTGGCTCAGCCTATAATCCCGCGCCTTGGGAGGCTGAGGTGAGTGGATTGCCTGAGCCCGCGGGTTCGAGACCTGCCTGGGCAACTTAGTGAGACCTCATCTCTACAATAAATCAAAAAATTAACCGAGCGTGGTAGCACGCTGTAGTTCCAGCTACTTGAAAGGCTGAGGCGGAAGGATCACCAGAGCCCAGCAGGTCGAGGCTGCGGTGGCCGGGAGCGGCCACTGCACTCCAGTCTGGGCGATAGAGTTAAGACTCCAACTCAAAAAAAAAAAAAAAGATGTGGAGGACTGGGCTTGGTGGCTCAGCCTGTAATCCCAGCACTTTGGGAGGCTGAGGGGAGTGGATTGCTTGAGCCCGCAGGTTCAAGACCAGCCCAGGCAACTTGGCGAGACCTAGTCTCTACAATAAATAAAAAAAATTAGCTGGGCATAGTAGCATGAGCTTGCAGTTCCAGCTACTTGGAAGACTGAGGCGGAAGGATCGCCAGAGCCCAGCAGGTCGAGGCTGGAGTGGCCATGAGTGTGCCACAGAACTCTAGCCTGGATGACAGAGTAAGACTCCAACTCAGAAACAAAAAAACAAAAGATGTGGGGTACAATTCAGAGTTAGGTATACAAATGTTCATTATGCAAGTACCCTTGATGATGAGGTGTGCCCCTCCCTCCTCTGGCAGTTTACCACTACTGCCAATCCCTTTCTTATAGTATTATGATAATTGTTCAAGGTCCACTTATGAGTGAGAACATATGGCACTCTGTTCTTTGTTTCTGTGATAGGTCACTGAGTATGATAGATTCTAAATCCCTCCAAGTTGCTGCGAAGTTCATATGTTTGTCCTTCTTTATGCCTGCAAATATTCCATTGTGTATATGTACCACATTTTTTTTGTTCAGTTCAGCTTTGATGGGCAGCATGGTTGGTTCCATGTTTTTGCTATTGTGAATAGAGCTGCAACAAACATGGGTGTGCAGGTATCTTTTGATCAGGACGATTTTGTCAACCTCTTTGGGCATCTCCATTTCAGCCCTGAAGTGACGTGCACCGCTGGTCAAGGAGAGGGCAAGACACAGTGAACATATTCTTGATCAAGTTTCCAGCCTTGACCTCTCAGCTGAACAGGTGTTAGATGTTCTTACGGGGCCTTTTCTAGTCTGCCCCCAGACTCCTGCCTGGGGTCACAGCTTCCCTGTTGAAGAGACATAGCTGTCAACACATAAAGGATGCCTTGTTCTTAGTGAATTGGGGGCAAACAATCCATGGAAAGTCAGGGGAAGGGGATAGGGATGGGATCAGTGGCACCGATAAGGACACCAACAGGCCTCAGGTCATCTGCAGTGGGCATTAGACTCCTGAGCCAGGAAACCCAAGAAGTGCAGACAATCCCACCATGCCTGCCATGCAGCCCTCTCTGAAGGTCCTCGTATATATATGGCTTTCCCTTCATTTTTTTTAGAGATGAGGTCTCACTATGTTACGCAAGCTGGTCTCGAATGCCTGGGCTCAAGTGATCCTCCCGCTTTGGTATCCCAAAGTGCTGGGATTACAGGCTTGACCCACCACACCCAGCCAGGCTTTTCCTTCTTACCTCTTCCCTCCCTGGCTGCCTGACCAAAACCTGCTGTTGTGGTCCCTGTCTGACAACAGGCGATGCTGCCAGCTGGACACCCTGAGTGCAGAGTAAGTGTATCAACATGGACTTTCAGTGGTGTAAACATTCTTTTTTTTTTTTTT